TCCATCTCGACGTGGGGGGTAGCAAGAAACAACTCGACTCAGCAAACCGTGGCTTGTGACTTCTGATGTCACAACGAGCCACGGTTAGTACAGAACGCAGTCAAGCGAGCAGCCGGATCACAGCAAATAAAGGTCCCGTCCCGAGTGAACTTGACCGACTGGCCGGTCGAACCGACGCAGGTCTCAGCCCTGCTGAAGAGCCCTGCCGAACAGGAAGCGTCATGGGTTCGACCCGTATACATACAGAGGCAGCGACGCCACTCACCTGCTTGAGAAGAGTGATTTTAGAGTCATTGCTGATTAAGGCTGCCTGGTTGAGCAAGTCCACGACCTGTTTTGGGGTTAAACAGAGAAAAGAAGTCAGTGTTTGATATACAGAGCCTCTCAGAACCTTATCTTGCAAGCAGATATTGGCAGACAGCTCTAGGACAGGGGTGTCAAACAGTGTTCCCTCTAAGCTGAGTTAGTGTGAGCTAGCTCACAGTTTTTTAGCCTCTGGCTCACACATTTTTGTCTCAGCTCAGGAAGGAGGGCTCCAGAGCACACAAATCGCTCGTGCACCACTTTAATGCCAGGAGCTCACAAAGTAGCATTTTTGCTCACAAGACTCCACAGCTTAGAGGGAGCATGTCAAACATGCGGCCCGGGGGCCACATCAGGCCCGCAGTGGAACTGGCACTCGCGTGGTTCCAGTTCTGCGTCTGCAGCTGCTGCTGCATCTTAGCTTGCTTTGCCAGACTCTCTTAATCATGCGGCCATTTCATGTTTTCCCCTGGGTCCTAGACTCAGAACTCCGAGCATGAGATTTCTGTGGCGAATGTCAATAAATCAAAAGTGGTTTACTTATTGTAACTAAGCTTGTTGGCGATCTCCTCTCTTGGGTTTTTAGATAGTAGTGGGTTTCTTTACTTTGTCCCTGTATGTGTAGTTCCCTATATCCTTTTTTCTTTGTAGTATTTGTAGAGATATAAAAATAATTTAAAAATCCCCTCTGGGGGAATTAAAAAAAAAAAGTAGGTTTGCCGCTTACAGAGCGAATGTTTTAAGCATGTTTTTATTTTAAGTAAAAAAAAAACCTTTGTGACTTTGTAAAGTTTATATCTCCGCTACCCGGCATTACATTTGACGACACACGTGGCCCGGCCCGACAAGCTCTCATTTATGTCAGATCCGGCCCACGTAACAAATGAGTTCGACACCCCTGCTCTAAGGTAGTTTCCTCCCACGCTGCTCCCCTCACAAGCCCCAGGTCCGCCGTTCAGAGCCGTTCTGCCTCTGCCCCGCGCCCTGGGACTTACCCTCTCGGAGGTTGTCATGGTGTCGATCATGGCAGCCTCCTCGCCGGCAAAGAACTGGGAGGCGATGCTCATGCAAGACAGGCCAGGGTCCCGCAGGCCGCTCCCGCTCGCCATGGTGGCCGGCGTTCGATTCACCCGGGTGGGTGGGATCCGGTTGGTCGGAGCAGGGCCTAGGAAGAGAGCGTGCGCGGTGGTTAGGGAAAGGCTCAGGCGTCCAAAGGAAAGCCTCTCCGAGTCTTAAAGCCTCAGGGGAACGGCCTGCTCCGGTTACACGCGTGAAGCTGCCTTCTGCTGAATCACACCCTCTTCTGCCCACCAAGGTCAGTCTTGTCGACTCAGACCGGCAGCGGCTCTCCAGGGCCTCAGGCGGAGGTCTTTCGCATCACCTACGGCCTGGTCCTATTCAGTGGACATGCCGGGGATTGAACCTGCGACTCTCTGCGTCCCCCAGCAGGTGCTCTGCCACTGGATCACGGCCCCTCCCCACGCAGTCGCGGCAACCCTTGTTCTGCCCCTTCCGGCTGGAGCCGTTCGCAATAAGGGAGGCGGAGAAGACCCAGTAAAGTTCCATCTGCAGTAGCTTAATACAGCAGTAGGCATTTAACCCTTCTTAAGTTCTTGCGAGTTGGGAGTTTCTTAAGTTGGGAAAGATGACGGGGACGGCAAAGGATGAGATGGTTAGACAGTGTCATAGATGCAACGAACATGAAATTGAGCAAACTTCAGAGGATGGCGGAAAACAGGAAGGCCTGGCGTGATCTGGTTCATGGGGTTGCGAAGAGTCGGACTCGACTGTGTGACTGAACAACAACAAGTTCTTGCATTCTCTTCTTAATAGATCAGATGGGCTCAAAGCTCCGTCTGTTCGCACAAGTCAGCCTCCTTGCTCAAATATGAGATCCTCCCTTTCTTCCTGACAAATGCTGCATAACTTATAGGCTCGTGTGCCCTTTAAGGTCCTATTGTTATTGATAACAGGGCCCCCTCCCCTTCAAGGGCACAGTGTTCACCAAAAGACAGCTTCTCTGCACTGAAGGGTTTATAGAACTGCCAAAATGAATTCACTCTTTACCAGCTTAACACAGCACACATAGACTCCGTTTTTGCCCCCGCCCCCCCACAACAGCTCTGGACACAGGGTGGGGCTTTGGGGAGCTCCGCCCCCTTTCTTAAAGGCACAGCCCCATAAGAATTTCTCCTGTAAATGCTTTTTTTCAATCATTTTTACACTTTTTTAAAAAGGTGTGTGCTCCTTTAAACGGAGTGGGGTGCTGTAGCTGACTTATTCCCGCACTGAGCAAGGGGGTTGGAGTGGTTGACCTCAGGGATCCCTTCAAGCTCTGTGTCAAGAAACTGGTCTCGTTTCAGAGAGTTTTTCTGTCTAAGTTTGAGCTTTCTTGACTATAGAAGTCATCCCACCCCCCACCTGCCGGCTTGTTCTCAGAACTGTTGCTTAGGCTGGCAGTAGTGATGAACTTGCATCAGCTGAGAACTGTTTGACAGCTTGCAGTTTAGAGATCTGTCCTGGTCACAGCTTTCTCTTGGCTAAATGGCTTTTCTTTCTGCACTGAGAACTTCAGCCCCAACCGGGGGGGGGGGATTGTCCCACGAGTACCACAAATTTCTGCCTCTGGGCCTGTCTGGAAGTATGGCTGGCCTGAGAAACAGACACTTGGTGAGTGACCATCACAACCAACAAGAGGGATTCAAACTTTGGACATGAGTACATAAGATAACCCCTGCTGGATCAGACCAGTGGTCCATCTAGTCCAGCATCCCATCTCATACAGTAGCCAACCAGTTTTCCTCTGGAGGTCCAACAACGGGGCAGAGAGGCTGAGGTCTTCATAAGAACCTCAGAAGAGCCCTGCTGGATCAGACCAGTGGTCCAGTTGGTCCAGCATCCCATCTCACACAGTGGCCTCAGCCAGTTCCTCTGGAGGTCCAACAACAGGGCAGAGAGGCTGAGGCCTTCATAAGAACACCAGAAGAGCCCTGCTGGATCAGGTCAGTGGTCCATCTAGTCCAGAGTCCTGTCTCGCACTGTAGCCAACCAGTTCCTCTGGAGGGCCAACAGCAGGGCCTAGGCTTTCCCCTGATGTTGCCTCCTGGCTCTGGGATTCAGAGGCTTAGTGCCTCTGAATGTGGAAGTTCCTCTCAGTCACCTCTAGTAGCCATTGAAAGACTTGTCCTTCATGAATCTCTCTAATCCCCTTTTAAAGCTGTGTATTCCTGTGGCCATCACTACATCCTCTGGCAGCGAATTCCACATTTTGAATCACCCCCTGTGTAAAGTAGCATTTCCTTCTGTCCGTCCTGAACCTCCTGCCCATCAGCTCCACTGGATACCCTCGAGTTCTGGTACTTGGGGAGAGGGCAAGAAACTTCTCTTTGTTAACTCTTTCCACCCCAGGCATAATTTTATAAGCCTCTATCGTGTCCTCCCTTAGTCATCCCTTTTCTGAACTGAAAAGTCCCAGGTTCTTCAGCCTTTCCTCCTACAGAAGTTGCCCTCATCGTTTTGGTCTCTGCACTTTTTCCAGCTCTGCAGTGACCCCGTCACAAATTCTCAGGCCGGAATACCCTGTGGGAGGCTTGCCTTGTGCAACCGGCAGGCCTCCTCCCACCTGACGGACATCATGAGACACCGTATTATGCCCCGTTGTCGTTCCCAGCAACATTCCAGCCTCTCTGCAATAAGCCCCAGGAAGGATATCCCGGATTAAAGCCCAGGTCATGTGGTGTAGTGGGACCAGGAAGACATGGCTCTTTCCCGATTCGGGCTTGGAGCTTGCTGGGTGACTTGAGGTGTGTGTGTGAGTCACTTGCTCTTGGCTGCACCTACCTCACAAGGTTGTTGGGAAGATAAAATGAAGGAGGTGGAGAAGAACAAGAATGTTTGTCTCCCGGGCTTCTTGGAAGAAGGAAGGGAGGAAAGAAGGAAGGGAGGAAAGAAGGAAGGGAGGAAAGAAGGAAGGGAGGGAGGGCACAAAAGGCAGATGATATCAGAGCTGGTCAGTGTTCCCTCTAAACGGAATTGGTGTGAGCTAGCTCACAGTTTTTTAGCCTCCGGCTCACACATTGTTATCCAGGCTCAGGAAGGGATGGCTCCGGAGCAAACTAATTTATCCAGCGGCCAAGTCGCTCGCTCACAGCTTCAATGCCCGTCGCTCGCGAAGTAGAATTTTTGCTCACAAGACTCCAGGGCTTAGAGGGAGCATTGGCGCTGGCGTGTCCTGGCTGGAGAGTGGTTGGGGGCTGCCCACCTCCAGGTGGGGCTCGGAGGTCTCACAGAATGACCACGGATCTCCAGACCACAGAGACCCCCTTCCCCCTGGAGGAAACGGCAGCTTCAGAGGGCGGGCTCTAGGGCTCACCTCCCTCTCCCCTTCCCCAAACTCTGCCCCCGCACAAATCTCCAGGAATTTCCCACCCCAGAACTGGCAATCCTGAGAGCGCAGCTGGGGGGGGGGGACCTGGGTTCAAATCCCGCGCTGCTACGGAGCTCACGAGCTAGACTGAACCAGTCACTCGCTCTCGCTCGCTCTCACCTCCCTCGCAGGGTCGTTGTGAAGACAAAACGGGAAAAGGGGAGACCGGTGACTGACTGCTCCCTACTCGAGCTCGAAGCGGAGCAGGCAGAT